GTTCTGTTTTAAAGCCCCAGAGGGCACTTGGGTGGCTCAGTGGTTGAGCATCTACCTTTGACTCAGGTTGTGATCCTGGGTCCTGGAATCAAGTTCTGCATCAGGCTCCTTGCAGGAAGCCTGTTTCCCCCTCTGCATCTCTCATGAATAAATAAATAAAATCTTTAAATAAAAAATAAACTCCTTTAGAACTACAGATCACTTTTAAATTACCCCAAACTTGTATGCTTTTGTTCCTTCCGGTGTTTTTGTTTCTTTGTTTTCTTTAGCTGCCATTCTAAGGTCTTAAATTCTCTGAGAGTCTCCACTGAACCTTTCCAAGGGCAATACCTTAAATTGCAGAGTCTGGATCTTGTACACAAATACAGATAGTGTTAAACTTAATGGAGGGATCCCTGGGTGGCGCAGCGGTTTGGCGCCTGCCTTTGGCCCAGGGCGCGATCCTGGAGACCCAGGATCGAATCCCACATCGGGCTCCCGGTGCATGGAGCCTGCTTCTCCCTCTGCCTATGTCTCTGTGTCTCTCTCTCTCTCTGTGACTATCATAAATAAATAAAAAAAATTAAAAAAAATTAAAAAAAAAAAAACTTAATGGAAACATTACCTCATAGTTCTTGTGACAGCATTCATGCACTCCACTGCCTAGACTTTAAATTATGCCATCTCATTATTGCCCACTGTTTAGCATGTCCCTTTCTAGGCTTTTCTTCCTTTATCATAGAAGCAGCCAGGATTTTTCCATCTTACCTATGAGCTGTAAATAATTTCCTACCACAACCATGTGACTTTTTTTTTTTCTTTTGTATGAAGGTTACTCTTTGTTCTCATTCTGCCTCTCAAGGTATGCTTTCATATAAAAGCCACAAAATGATTTTAAATGTTAAGTAATGAATGTTGCACTACTCAATGATTAAGCCCTTAACAACTTCATTTGAATAATCACATATAGTTATTTCTAATTACAGGCAAGAAAAATGAGTTAAGAGCTTGATCTAGTACCAACAGGGCAGCTGAAATTGGGGTGATGTGTAAAGTGTGCACATTCACAAAAGAGGCAAGTATCTATCTTCTCTTCAGCCTACCAGCTCCTGTGATAAACATTAGACAGATATTTAGTATCTTTAAAGAAATCTGATGTCCTGTCATCCACCCTCTAAAGCACAGAGCAAACACTCAAATTCAAAGACCAACAAGTATCACCTATGCTGCTCAAGTCCCCAGGTGTGCCCATTCATAGGCATCTATTTTGGCTGCTACTGTAATAGTCATTATTATGAGATACTGTCAGAACCTATGGATTCTGAGGTTTTCTAGTACAGTGACCTGTCATTTTGACTGCTATCAATATGTATTCAACAGTACAGGATAGCCTAAGTAATTTTGATTATCCACATTACTTGACCTGATCAATCATACATACTCTTTATTTACATGTTTTTTGTTTTTTGTTTTTTTAACTTAGAAAAAAATTCCCAGTAGACTTGACTCTCTGGGAAAAGAGTCAACTCTATCTGCCATCTCATTATCCACAAGACTTAGATTCTGCCAATATAAAGCCATATATGAAACTATTATCATAATGGGAAATATCAGTAGTTCTGTGTTCTCAAGCTTTCAAAGCATGAATATGAACACCTTTACCTGCCTTAGTCCTCACTAAAATCTACTCTGTATAGCAGCTAGTGTAGCCTTTTAAAAATGTTGTATCATGCCATTCTCACATTCAAAAGCTTCTTACAGTGGATTCTCACCATACTCAAGAGTTATGAACCATTTCTTATAGTCACCAAAACCCCACATGACCTGACATACTCTCTACACCTCACCCACCTGCTGTCTCTCCAGCCACTCACCTCTCTCTCCATCCCATTTTGCTCCAGCGCCATTGGCGTCCTGGCTGCTTCCCTCAAATCCCTATTATGTCCTTGCTTCAGGACCTTTCTGCTCCGGCCATTCCATCTTCCCAAGGTGCTTCTCCTGACTCGCCCTTACTGCCTTCCGGTGTTGGCTCAGGTGTAACCCCAGTCAAGCCTTCCCTCACTGATGCATTTAAACAGCAACTCAAATCCTCCCTTCCTTGCTTTTGGTTTTCAAAGTACCGCCTGTCTTACCCCATTGTACCACATTTTACTAATTTATAGTGTGTTTCCCTCAACTAGAATGTCAACCGGGATGTAAAGTCCAGGAGGCCAGGAATTTGTCTTATTCACTTCTATACCCCAGAGCCTAGAGCAATGCTCAGCACCAAACAGACACTTCACACAAAGACTAATAAATACATGTCGTTAAATATCACCTACTTTGTTTTCTTGTCTCCTCCCACGGTATGTGAGTTCCATAAGGTCAGGGATAGATGTCTGCCATGGGTATAACCCCAGCAATTAGAACAGAACACAGCACACAATTAGGACTCCACAGATATTTATTGAATGAATCATCACTACGTTCTTTTGGCAAGAGCAGAAAGAAAGTTTCAACTCACATCTGCACATTCTCACTATCTTGCTGGATATGAAATAAAATAATGTAGCCTCAAGATGATTCTATCATCCCCATTTTTACTTTAAAAAGATACATAAACTAAACACACCTATATTTTGTATATAATCCAAAGCACAATTAAAATCCAAAAATGGGGACGCCTGGGTGGCTCAGTGGTTTGGCGTCTGCCTTTGGCTCAGGGCATGATCTTGCAGTCCCTGGATCAAAACCCACAGGCTCCCTGCATGGAAAATGCTTCTCCCTCTATCTCTGCCTCTCTTTCTCTCTCTCTGTCTCTCACGAATAAATAAATAAAATCTTTAAAAAAAAAAAAATCCAAAAATGACAGGGAAAGATCAGTAAGAAAACATCAGTGTTTCCTTGGTGATAAATAAACTTTCACAGTACAAAACTGTCAAAATATACAACAAAAACAAACTCACTTTCATTCCCCCCCCCAACATTTTTTTCTCCCATTTAGTAATTATTAGAGGCTTTTATGAAAGGAGCTCTGGCCCTTTCTCTTCCCAATATTGAGCTAATTCATAATAGAATTATGTGACATTTACTTTACTGTAAATGTCTGATGTACTTTTCTGTCTGATGTAATAAACACAAAGTTTTCTTTCTGTTTTCTTTTGCTCAAAATTCCAGCGTACTTAAAAATGAGGGCAGTGAACAGACTGTATGTAGTAAGCCAAAAATGAAATAATCAAGAGGAGACTCTTTTTCAATACCAGCCAACACTGTCTGGGCAAAGAGGCTATTGACTCCAAGCGATAGGGAGTCAAGGCAGAAACCACTACAGCTTTCCCCTGACATTAGGACAAAGTCCTTTCAGCCAAGCAGACTAATCAGAAAACAGGAATACCAAACCTTCACCCTTACTGTGATTAACCAGGGTAAAGCCAGAAGGTTTTACTGATTCCTCTTGAGCTTTAGTATATTCAGTCAAAATGGACTACAGCTTACTTTAAACTGATCTATAGTTTTACCTCATTTCACAGATAAATCCACAGGACGAACTCACCATTTATAAAGGCTAAGAATTACCACATTCCTTTTGAAAATGCCCAGTTAATTTTATAATGTAAAGAGGTCATCAAATTCCTTCAAAAAAAGGTTAAGAGCTTGCTGATTCTCAAATGGTACTCTTAGAGGCTGGAACTCACATATCAACAGCATTTTTAGAAGAATAACTTATATATCGGCTTAGAAAATCACAATAAGATCCAGAAGACAGACCAGAGCATATGTAAGCAGTTACTGCCAGGCAGGTGCAGGGAATTCCCCAACCAACCAACAGCACAGACGGCGCATTTCGAATGGTTCACGCAGCCCTGTGGCCACGGTGCTGCTGGAGGTGCAGCTGCAGAGCTTTAAGGAGGGGACCAGGCATGAGGCTCTGCATCTCTGACCCCAATAGCACACAAAGGGCAAGTATTATGTCGGGGTTCCACAAGATAGCTCATTTTAACAAGGGAGACTACTGCCTAAAAGGTATCTGAAAACCAGCAGCAAGGACCTTAGAGTTATGGAGACCAACATTCAAATCCTACATCTGCTGAGGGAGAAATGGTCATGCCTAGCCAAGATGCAGTGCTAAGTGGTGGCAATTACTGTTAGCAGAGTGGTACTAAAAGGGATTAAAGGAGTGATCCTCAAAACACACAGCCAGTGACCACAGGACTGTGCTTTGAAGGTCAGTTCATCCCTTGGCCAAAAATAAAAATACACCTTATCAGCCCACTTTGTCCTTTAGACAGTAAAGACATGGTAGCCAGGAACCAAGAGCTTTTCAAGGACCTGCTACGTAAGGAGGTGGGCAGGGATAGAAAGGTGTTAAGACACAGAAAGAGGGAGAGGAAGAAAGAAAGAATGAACAAGAAATTGCTGCAAAATACAAGGAAAATGACAAAACAGAAGTTACTACATGCTTATTACAACTAAGGAAGGATTTTCAAGAATTTCAGTAACATAAATACATGTCTCAATCACTTGTAAATTAGGTTTTCTTGTCCAAATCACAGCTAGAATGTCTAATGACTACACAGAAGTCACAACCAACTTCAAATGAGGGGACATAAAGCTGAAACTTCAAAAAAATGTTTCAACTGCTACAGCAATATACACATGCACACACATACACAATGTGGAACAGGAACATATTAAATACACTGAATACACAGAAATGGGAGCCTCTAATAGTAAGAGGCTCTAGAGTCTTAGAACAGCTCCCCTTTCCAGTGTCCTCATGTTGGGACCATGTTCCCCAGGTCCTTTCCCATTGCAACAAGTAGCAGCAGAAGCCAAGAATAAGTCACAGGAGGAGGCGAGCTTCGGATACCCTCCGTGATCCTCCTGAGCCAGGCTTTCCAGACTCTTGCAAAATTCCCAGAAAGTGTCATTATACGTCACTCGCTAACAAAGCCAGTCACCACTATCATAGCACCTATACATGCTACAAGCCTGGGGCCTGACAGTAGGTACAACAATCACAAGAGGAAAAGAAGGCCCACCTGCTTGATTTTATTTCGAGAGTTGGTGATGCGCTCGGTGATGCTCTGGTACGTGCGAATGGCTGTCGTCAACTCTGTGTAGTGCTGCACTATCAACTCATCCAGGTCACGGTCACACTTCTCATAGGCTTCTTCAAGGCGCCCTTTCTCATTTTCTCGGTCTTCCACATCATCACTGGTAGACAGAGTTCTGGTGAAGATAGAGACTGAATCAAGCTCAATGAAATTTAAAAGCAAAAAAGTAAAAGGAATTAAAACGCAAGCACACACACCTCATGGATTCAGTAGGAAATGAAACAAGTCACTCAGAAAATACAAAACCACCTTCCTAGTAAATTCCAAGAGCCCATCTAAGTGGATTTGTTGGCTGCCCATCCAAAGAGCCCTGCCATCCAGCTTTCCTTGGCGTACCGATTTTAATCAGAGAGCAGGCGCCACTACTCTGCCAGAGTCGGGACAGATCCCAAATTGCCTAAGTAAATTCCAGTCTCCATTATCGGTGACAAGTCTGGCCAATGAGACCTAAGGACGTCTAGGAGTAATTTTCTTGCAAAATTAACAGGAAGCAAGACCCTTCTCCTGACACTGGATATTGTTAAACAAAGCCAAGATACTCAAATATTTCACCCATCTTCCAATCATGGAAGGGAAAATCAAGAGAAATGCCAGGCTACTGCACTGATATCATTGGGCCACGAAAGCAGCCGACCCTAGGGCTGCTTTCCCTCAGGACTTCTCGTTAGGGGACACAGGAAGTATCCACTGTGTAAGTCACCCTCAACCAGTCTTTTATATAAAGCTAAAAGTACACTACCCAATAAAATTACTTATACACTGAGGAACTACATTCCAAATAGCTCATTTAAATGAACTAAATTTGGTACAGAGCCCCCAGTGGCCTGGAAATAAGGTCACATCAGTACTAAAATATGTTACAACAGCAATAATATAAGCTATACTATAAGACAATCCCTACTTTTACCATTCTTCCAAGCATTAACAAGATTGATATGAGTCAACAACCAGGGAATGAGATGGATACACTTATTAAAAATCTTTCAATAACTCAGTTTGATACATGGGCCACAGATCTTTGCTTCTTTTATTATCTTTTTTGGGTAATTTCTTTCTTTCTTTCTTTCTTTCTTTCTTTCTTTCTTTCTTTCTTTTTTTTTTTTAGTGTTATAATCAGTAATAAAGAAACCTTTTTCTCTTATCTCTTGGCTGCGGTAATTTAGAGTTTCATTAAATTCCCTCAGATTTGTCAGCTTATATACATTCAGCATAGCTTATTTCATTTATCTTTAATTTAGGGAGGGGGTAGTTTAGGCTTTTGATGATGGATGCAATCAAATATAAGTCCATCATTAAAACTGCTTTCGGAGATGGTCTATCAGTGAATCAATCACATATCTACTTCCATATATTCACAAGCAAAATACCATACAATGGTTTTTCCCCCACTGTCATTTAGAGCAAGAGATCTTAATTCATGAGCCACATAATATATAAACCTTCCTTCTCAATTTAGAGGGAGATTCAGCAGGCCAGTCTTTGAAATCAATCTAACCTCTAAGAAGAATTTTGTAAATTTGTTACGGATGCCAAGAGACCAGTTCTCAGGAAGTGGTAGGAAAGGGGATGGAGGAGACAAGACAAGAAATATAATGAAGGAAAATGCAAAGCCTCTAAGGGTTGTGGGGTGCACTCCGGAAAGCAAACCACTAGGAACCCCAAGACTTGGAAGTAGGCCTTTATCATGCCAGATCCTGTGTCTTCCTCTGTCAACTGGCGATCCTACATCAGACTACCTAGCTCCAAAATTACTTTCAGGTAGAGAATAGTGCACAAATATTTGGCTAATAAAATAAATCAGAATGGATAACCTAGGAGAAATATGGTTTCAAAGACAGAGCTACCAATATCACTTGCAATATTTGGGTACAGGGAGCTAAGTGTGCCTTCCTATTGTTTCTATGCTACATAACTTTGCTCTTTAAATTTGAAACCTTCCAGGCTGTTAATCTAAAGAAAAGCACAATCAGAAAATGCCTTCGATTTATCAACTGTCCCAAAGGGAAGAGTTCCTTGGTATTTACCTCTGATTTCCCCTTCTAACAGCAAGCAGCCACGGATTTGTCAAAGCTACACTGGATCAGTTTGCCCATCTTTACAATGCTTTGATTTCCTCTCCACCCCCATTTGTGGAAGGAAACATGCCAAACATTTCACACTGTTTACATTAACTAGGAGAATTACCATTAAAGAAAATGTCAGGCCCAGAGAGGACACCTTCTCGGGCATCAGCTGTCACTGTAACACATTACCACCGCATTAGGAGTTATTTACGAAAATAGAAAGGGCTACTAAAATGAAGATTAGAAAGTAAATTGGGTCTACAGGGGTTTTTAGCTCCTATTTTCATTTTTAGGGAAAATATTTGTATAAGGAAAGAGCCTGTGCCAGGTTTGAGCTCCTTTAATTTCATTCTCTTAATGTAAACTGGGCTGAATGATGGTTTGCCTTTAGTTGGAAATAGAGAATAAAACCACCAAATTTTTATTATTAGAGAAAAGGCAATAAGGTTAATAATAGCCACAGATGGTGCCAGCAGCCAGCAGCGCTGTGCACTTATAGAACGTATGCTGCATCCTCCTGACAGCCCTTAGGAGTGGTATTATTCTTCTCCCTTAATGTTCTGAATCCTGGCTCCACCACTTAGTACCTGTATGAACTTGGTCATGGCATCTCATTTTGCTCATCTGCAAAATGCAGAGACTAAAGATATAGTCCTTACAGAGCCACTGGTGAGAATTGAGGGAGATCCAACAAGGCCTGGGGGATCATTAGCACATAACAAATGGCAATGGAGGTGGCTGGCTATCATTGTCACCAGTAGTAGCAATAAGAGCAGCAAGGGCAATAGCAGTGTTCCACGATGTCATGCAAAGCACATCCTTTGGAGACAAAGGTTCAAATTCTATCACTCCCAAAACACTAGAGCATTTGGCGCTGGGCATGAGATTTAACCTCTCTGGCTCACTTACTCCTCTGTAATGTCAAGAACTGCAGAGAGTCTGAGATTTTATCCTACTCACAAGCTAACAAGTTATCCTGACTGAGTTTCACAGATGCTGCTAGAAGACACAAAACAAAGGACTTTTACTCACAGCACAGCATATAGCATGAGCACCAACGTATCTGCAGCAGGCCCCCACCCGGGCCTCACAGCAACTGGACCCAACTTTGTGCCTGTACATGCCGTGAGTGACTAGAGAGGAACCTGAATGTAGGAAACTCCATCTTTTATACTGGTCAGTACACATGCCTGCCGTTCTTCTACACAGAGACAATATATCTATCTTCCAAGCATCCAAACACACATCCTTGGCAAGCCAATCTGAAACAAAGGGCATGCAGTGCTTTGCTTATAGGAACTTCAGAAACAACCCTCCCGAGGAGAATGGCCCCCAAAATAATGAACTGGAATCCCCGGGGTTCCTTCAGAGACTGCATGGTGTCAAGCAATAGTAGGCATTATCTCCAACCTCTGTTTTCTTTTCTGCAAAATAAGACCTGAAACATGCAATGTCTCCTACAATAAGTATCTGCACAATGAATGAACGATAACCCATGAAAGCAGACTAGAAGTCTAGGGAGAAAGTTTTTATGCCTGCTGCCAAAAGGCAGCAAATTTCAATATGGAACTATCTTATGTTAAGCCAGTCACTTAACCTGAACTGAGGGCAGAATAGAAAAAAACATGAGTTCACCTTGCCAGCCAGGTCAGGAACCTCTCTTCAGCCTTCTAATAAACCTCTGGGAGATGGAAAGCTCACTAGTTCACAAAGCCATTCACTGCAATTCTGAACAGCTCTCCTTGTTACAAAGCCTTTCATGAAAATAAAATCAGGCTCTTTAACATTTCTACCCATTGATCCAAGTTCCACCTTTTTTCACTTACATAGGTCTATTCCCTCTTCATACAATTTCTCTTTCAACAGTAAAGGGCTCTCAGTACTTCCTTCTCAGGTTAAACATCTAACTGCTTCAACCGTTTCTCCCACAACATGCCTTCCATGTGGCCCACCATCCTCGTGGACTTCCTCTGAAGTCCTGTCCAAAACAGCTAACACTCACACAGAACTTACTGTATGCCAGACGTTAGTCTAAGGGGTTTATGTACAATAATTCATTTATTCCTGACCTCCATTAGAGGTAGGTACCATTATCACCCCCCTTTTCACAGACAGGAAGCAGAGTTGTGTATTGGAGGCACAGAACTTTTAAGTAGCAGAGCCAGGCCTCCAATCTGAGCAGCCTGGCCCTTAAAAGCTTCCCCATCCTGCTTCTCAAGATGTAGTACAAGGACTCAACACAACATACTCCTAATACAGTCTGGACAGTCCAAACAGGAAGAAGTTTTAATATCCTATATAACATAGGCACTATATTTTTTTATAATTGGCCTAAAACCACAACACATTTTTTTGTAAATATTGAGTCCATAATTCTGACAGTTACGACAGATGAGTGCCAGCTCTCACTCATCTACTTGGGAAGTGTTCAAACTAAATACAGAAATGTACATGCATCCTTGTGTCTTACATTTGAGAAAGGGAAGATGAAAGTGAAGCACAGAGTATCAGTTAGTGTCCATCATATGCCAGAGAATGTGCTAGCTATTTTGTACACATGATCTAAGATAATACTCAAAAAGTCTGGCAAGATGGTATCACCACCCTTCTTACGGGTGAGGAATCAGAGGAATAAAGAGGTAAGGAAACTTGCACCCACACACACAGCTAACATGGGAACTGGACTTGAAGCTAAGTACACCTGACTTCAAAGCCCATGCCTTCTCCACTATGCATATTAGAAACTCCTACCTTTTGTGCCTTCAGCTCCTTCATGCTCACATGTGAAGAGAAGAGTAGATGGCTAGAGATGTAGACAGTACTAAAAAAGCTAAGTCCTCTAACAGTCTTGAGTCTGGACAAGAAGCATGAGCTTGAAGACATGAGCAGAGGAGAAAGATTTGAAGTTGCCACCCCAAGATGCATTCGTTATTGAATCACTTATATATTTCCCCCAATCCCTACCTGAAAACCATTAAGATTTACAAACTATTGTCAAGTTCACAGAAAAACATAAAAGCATACACTAAATTCTAGTTAAGCCAGACACAGA